TGGTCTCTTTAATATATAAAACCACTCCTCTTTTCTTACATTGTGTCAAGGAAGTAAATATTTTCCCTAGTTTTGGCTGTATCAACAATTGTTCATATTGTTTTTTAATATGTACTTCTTGTAGACAAATTATATCAAATTTTAATTTCTCTAATTTATGAAAGGTTTTCCTTCTTTTAACGGCTGAGTTAAGTCCATTTATATTAATTGTAATCAGTTTTTTCTCTTCCATGGTTATATTTTGTAGTTAGGTTTAGCAGCTCTCGTAGATCTTAGTTCACATTGTTCTTTGGCTTCCACCTTTCCACCTACTGCACCTTCTTCTTTTTCAATTGCCATTTGGAATTCAATTAGTGAGATCTCTTTTTCTGCCTTGTCCTCTTTCCCTCCAAAAAATTCTGTATAAAACAATTCCGCTTTCTCAATTGTGTCAATTCTATGTCTCTGTTCTTGCCATGTGAACATTAAACCTTCTGGAATCAGCCATCTATAATTCACCTCTTTTTTAAATAGCATTTTAGTCAGGAATCGGTATTCTCTTCTCATCTCTCTCACTCTTCTGGGTATTTGTTTCAAGACCACAATCTCCTTGTCTTTATATTTCAATGTTTTCTCTTTTGCCACTTGCAATATTTGCATTTTAATGGGTTTCTTTGTAAATCTAATGTGAACTTCTCTTGGTAAGCTATTTCTCATTGCATATCTTGTGAAAACTCGATAAACCTCATCTATTCCATCCATCATCTTCTCTTGAGTTATTTCCAAAGCTTCAGCCAGTATTTCTATCATTATCTCAGCTAAGTTTTATCCTTTTTCTTCCTCTACATTTTGGAATCTAAGATAGAATTCTGATCTATCCATCTCCCATCTCAACATACCACTTTTATCTTGTTCAACCACCGCTAATCTATTATCAATATCTCCAATCTTCTTGTCTCTTTGTTTATCTTCTTCAATTTTTTGGAATCTCTCATCATACTTCAACATCATTTGTTGGATGTTTTCCACTTTTTCATCGGTTTTACCTGTTCTTTGTTCAATGTTCTCTGTTCTTTGTTCAATGTTCTTTATTCTCTTTTCAATATTCTCTGATCTTGCTTGAATATTTTGAATTCCTTGCATAATCATTGCAGAGTCACTTTTTCTTGTTCTTTTTCTTGTTTTAACATTGTCTGTATTGAACTTTGTCCTCCAGATGGTGGAGAGGAAGAAGTAGAAGTTGAATAACCAGGAGCTGTAAATTTCCTACTCATTTTAAGCAATTCAAAATCTTCAGGTTCTTCTAAACCTTAATCCAATTGTGAAATAACCAATTATAGTTCGAAATAAAAATAGTAGAAAAAAGAAGCCCAATAACAATGATAAAAAAAGGGAAAAAAAGGGAGGACAAAATTTCTTCAGGTTCTTGTATACCTTAATCCAATCAGTACTTAGATGAAGAAAAAGTCTTGAAAAAAAAGGAAAAGAAAAAAAAGGAAAAGAAAAAATTCTTCAACACCTTAATCCAATTGAGAGGTCTCAAATAGAAAAGAGTGCATAAAAATAAACCAGAAAGGTAGATAAAAAAATAAAAATACCAGGAAAGGAGAAAAAAAGGCTATTCCCTTAAAAAAAAGAAACATTAATATTAAAGCTTTCCCTTTAAAATAAAAAGCAAGCGTAGAGATTGGACTTCCAAAGAAAAAAAGAAAAACAAAGACAAGCTCCAACAAAGCCAAAAACCCAAATAGTTATTACAAGAAAAAAAAAGATAAAATGAAATACAATAAAGCTGGTGAGGAGGGATAGCACAACTTAGAAAAAGTAAAAAGAGCACACTCTTTTGGAGAAGAGAGCTATAATAAGAGCCAGCACTTTTTTATATGCTTTATGTTGCACATCATGGTCAATAATGGGTTGTATAATTATTCACTAGCAAAGGCTTCCAAATTTTCTAAAGAAGCAACTCTATGTGCAACATGATTATAATAACCCATTTTAGAATTTTTAATGCAAGTACAGTCTTCTCTACTGAAGGGCAGAATTCATTTCCCAGGCAATGCTCTTGAAAAACACATCTGATTACAGGTATGTAACTCAGCCCTGACCCAATATGAGCCATTGTTGACTCAAAACACTGCTCTGACTCCAAACAACAGAACTGAATCAAGTTGATGAATGGTTTATTTGATGTAGAAAAGACACATTATGTGTAAAAGCAATTTAATTGTTGAATTGAACTGATCTGATTCAACTCTTCAAATCATTCAAGTGACGTGATTTAATGATTTAATTCAGAGAGTCAATCGATTACTCTCTGAACTGAATTATTGTTGTTGTTAGTTGCAAAGTCATGTCCGACCCATTGTGGCCCCATGGACAAGGTTCCTCCAGGCCCTCCTCTCCTCTACCAGCCCGCAGAGTCCATTTAAGCTCATGTCAACTGCTTCAGTGACTTCATCCAGCCACCTCATTCTCTGCCATCCCCTTTTTCTTTTGCCCTTAATCGTTCCCAGCATTAGGCTCTTCTCCAGTGAGTCCTACCTTCTCATTAGGTGGCCAAAGTATTTGAGTTTCATCTTCAGGATCTGGACTTCTAAAGAGCAGTCAGGGCTGATCTCCTCTAGGACTGACTGGTCTGATCGCCTTGCAGTCCAAGGGACCTGCAGGAGTCTTTTCCAGCATCATAGTTCAAAGGCCTCAATTCTTTGGTGCTCAGATTTTCTTATGGTCCAAATTTCACAGCCACACATTGCAACTGGGAAAACCATAGCCTTGACTATACGGACTTTTGTTGGCAGGGTGATGTCTCTTCTTTTTAGTATGCTGTCTAGATTTGCCATAGCTTTCCTCCCCTGGAGCAAGTGTCTTTTAATTTCTTGACTGAAGTCTGCATCTGCGGTGATCTTGGAGCCCAGGAAAATAAAATCTGTCACTACCTCCATTTCTTCCCCATCTATTTGCCAGAAATTGAGAGTGCCAGATGCCATGATCTTAGTTTTCTTAATGTTGAGTTTCAAGCCAACTTTTGAACTTTCCTTCTTCACCCATATCAAGAGGCTCTTTAGTTCCTCTTCATTTTCTGCCATTAGAGTGGTATCATCTGCATATCTGAGGTTGTTGATATTTCTCCCGGCAATCTTAATTCCAATTTTTGATTCATCTAGCCTCGCCTTTCTTGTATTATGCTTAGCATATAAGTTAAATAGGCAGGCGACAGTATACAGCCTTGCCGAACTCCTTTCCCAATTTTGAACCAATCAGCAGTTCTGAGTCCAGTTCTCACTGTTGCTTCTTGACCCACATATAGGTTTCTCAAAAGACAAATACGATAGTCTGGTACTCCCATCTCTTTAAGAATTTGTTGTGATCCACACAATCAAAGGCTTTAGCATAGTCAATGAAGCAGAAGTAGATGTTTTTCTGGAACTCCCTAGCTTTCTCCATAATCCAGCGTATGTTGGCAATTTGATCTCTAGTTCCTCCGCCTCTTCAAAATCCTGCCTGCACTTCTGGTAGTTCTCAATCCACATGCTGCTGGAGCCTAGCTTGTAGGATTTTAGGCATAACTTTACCAGCATGTGAAATGAGTGCAATAGTGCGGTAGTTTGAACAGTCTTTGGCATTGCCCTTCTTCAGAAATGGAATGTAAACTGACCTTTTCCAATTCTGTGGCCACTTTTGAATTTTCCAAATTTGCTGACAAATTGAGCATAGCACTTTTACTGCATTGTCTTTTAAGATTTTGAATAGCTCAGCTGGAATACTGTCATCTCCACTAGCTTTGTTGTTGCTCAGACTTCCTAAGACTCATTTCACTTCACATTCTAGGATGTCTGGCTTGATTATCAGGGACATTAAGCTCATTATTGTATAGTTCTTCTGTGTAATTTTGCCAGTTCTTCTTAATCTCTTCTGCCTCTGTTATGTCCCTGCATTTTGGTCCTTTATCATGCCCAACTTTGCATGAAACACTCCCTTCATATCTCTAATTTTCTTGAAGAGATCTCCTGCCAATTTAATGCAAAGCAAGTTGAAGACTCAGTGGTGCAATCAAATCCAGGAAAATTTGAGGTGCAGTTCTCAAACCTGACCTCCCCAAAGTTCCTTGCAGTCTTGTTACAGACAGAAAAACTGTTTAAATCATGGGAAGTCATTTTAATTGCTTGCAATCAAATTTTAAGTTTATTATTTACATTTTAAATTTAAATTAACATTTGAGTCACTTTGGCCTAGTGGTAAAGGCACCAGCTAGAAATTAGGAGGCTGTGAGTTTTAGTTCTCTCTTAGACATGAAAGCAGCTGAGTGATGCACCTCAGAAGATGGTTGTTATGGAGAAAAGAGGAGGAGGAAGTGGTATTGTGTATGTTAATTGCCTTGAGGCATTATTTATAAAAATAATGAAGGCAGTATAAAAATGAATAAATGTCTGCCCTCAATTCTTTGTTCTGTCTCTACTGACCTGTTGGATTGCAGGCTTCAGCTTGTCATTCTAAGACTGCAATCCACAGCCTGAAAACAATCCACTGATGGATATAGCTTAAGTCTGCACAGTCTTACAGAGCTGTATCAACATCTTTTAAGTAAGTCCTGAAAAAAGAAAGGGAAATAATGATATTTATAAAAATCTTGTGGAGAGCTTAGCTTGTCAGTTGTCTTAAATCATCAGTTGTTATGTAATAGAATCTCATTTGCTACAATGATATTTTACTGACTGGGAAGTTTGATGTTGAATACAGTAATGTATTTACAGTAATATATTACACAAGCCATAAATTTCTCTCTATACATAGGTATATGGGTATGCCTTGAATGAGAAGTCCTTCATCTTTTAGTGAGTCAATGATGATGATGATGAAATCTGAGAGGCACAGAAGGACTTCTCATTGCTTGTGATAAATATATAGATAGCTATTTAGATAGATAGATGGTAGGTAAGTAGATTCGATCACGGATGTCAAATTCAATTGTGTCACATGACATACCATGACATATCGCAATATTTTTTGCCTTTGTGGAGCCAGGGTGGGCATGGTCTGTGTGTGATGCATCCAGCCCACAGACTGCCAGTTTGCAGGCTTGGATTGGATGGATGGATGGATAGATAGATAGATAGATAGATAGATAGATAGATAGATAGATAGATAGATAGATAGATAGATACACAGACAAACTATTCCTGACATATACCCCATTGATCCACATATTCCTGTAAAATAATTGTTGCCATGCATATAGACACAAATACATTTACCATTGTTATGTTTGTTTCCAAATCCATTACAGAAAATGAACACTTCTATTAAAAGCTGAGGAAAGCTTCCCAGGAGGTGACAGGCGGGTGGACTCTGGTGGTGATTAAAGCTTCTCTATAGGAGGGGATGGTGCCCCAGCACTTTAAGGAGGCTGTGATCCACCCTCTTCTTAAGAAATCATCACTGGACTCCACCTAGTTGGATAATTCCCAACCTGTGTCCAATCTTCCCTTTTTGAGGAAGGTTGTTGAGAAGGTAGTCACACAGCAGCTCCAGAGGTTTCTGGATGAAACGGATTATCTTGACCCCTACCAATCAGGATTCAGGCCTAGATTTGGGACAGAAACAGGATTGGTCACACTTTTGGATGATCTCTGGTGGGACCTCTCCTGCAGGAGCTGCATTGGTTGCTGATTTGCTTCCGGGTGCAATTAAAGGTGCTGGTTGTCATCTTTAAAGCCCTTCATGGCTTGGGACCGGATTATCTGAGGAAACATCTCTTGCCGGTCACATCTACCCAACCCATTAGAGTGGGGAGGCAAGGAATGTTGCTGGTCCTATCCCTGAGGGAGATACACCTGGTGGGACTCAGAAGAAGGGCCTTCTCTGTGATGGCTCCCTCTCTCTGGAATATCATTCCCCCAGAGATTAGAATGTCCCCCACTCTACCACTCTTTTGGAAAGCACTCAAGACCTGGTTTTGCCAGTGGGCCTGAGGAACCCAAAGCGGGATGGAGCCCATCAAATGGCTAGTGTGATCTGCTATCGTCGGGACGGAGGATGGGAGTTGGGGGGTGATTTTTTTTCCAGATTTTGTTCTATTGTACTTTATTAATTTATTTGATTCTTTTTGTTAGTTTTTATTGTTTTTTATTTTTATTTTTTTGTTTTAAATATGGTTTACATTGTGTAAGCCGCCTTGAGTCACCATGGGCGAATAGGCGGCAATATAAATTAAATAAATAAATAAACTTGCAAGGGCATTTCAAAACACTCAGTTTTTATGTTCAGAATAATTACTCCACTCTTCTTTCCTTCTTAGAAGCATAGAAAGTAGCTCCCAGCTGCATCCTCTTGTGGTTTGAAAGCACCAGGTTAATAAATGACCCTTCCTAACTTTTTTTCAGCTGCGATGTAAAATAGTTTAACACGATGTATCTTCAAATGCACATTCACTTGGGGATGTTCAATGCTAACCCAGTTTCTGTAGGTGTGTTGGTTTCGATAACTTGTGCTTATTAAGTAAAGAAATGTCGATAGAGTTTGGCAAACTTTGCTCTTTTCAACACATTTCTCCCCCTCTTTTTCTCCCATGTGTGCACACACACACACACTGCACATCTCTTCATGAATCTCTTCTCCAATTTCAAGGACAATTTAGCATAGTACATCTTCCTCTTAATTTGAAATTAGAAATTAATCTCAGATGGGAGATGATGGCAGGCAGCAGATGGTTGGCTTTCCAGGCTACAGGGTGGGAGAGGACTCTGCTAACTTCTTGTCACCTTGTCAAATATTAAGGCATTCTGGGTAGAGAGCTCAGCAACCCTCCTGATATCTCACTGACCCCACATACTTCTATTGCTTAGGACATACAGAATGTCTCATTGCAGATGAAACAGTGAAGAGATGAGATTCAGTTAAATGTTGGACTCTAGTTTAAGAAGCAATGACTCTGTAGCAGATTGACAATTAGTTAACAATATCATTATAAAGGGACCATGCTATAGTCTTTGGAGGCACCTGTGGTCATAGAGGTAAAGATTGCATTTCATCAAGGAAGGAATAGTGACACAAGTATGGCTGCTGTCTTAGTTCACCATCAAATGACCTCCATTTTGGTTTAGCATAATGGAGATTCTGACTGGCTTCTTCTCATACAACAGAATAACAGAGTTAGAAGGGACCTTGGAGGTCTTCTGGTCCAACCCCATCCTCAAGCAGGAGACCTTTTGCCTGAGCAACATATGGTTTCAGGAACTGCCCACCTAGCAGTTCAAAAGCATGCAAATGCGAGTTGATTAATAGGTATCCTTCAGGGGGAAAGTAACAGAGTTCTGTGCGCCTTGGTATATAATCATCCTGGCCACATGGCAATGGAAAATGTTTTCAAACAGTGCTGACTCCCTTGTCTAAGAAACAGAGATGAGCACTGCACCTTAGAGTCAGACATGACTGGACAGGGAAATTTTTACATTACATACTTGCAAAAGTACATGGACTCTGATTTTGGCTATCCCGTAAGCTTTGTTCTTAAAAACCAGGGTGGGTGGAGGCATGCTCTTCTTTTGCCTTTTGGAGTTTCATGGCCTGATTTTATTTTTAGTTAATATTATTGTTGCTCTCTGTGAATGAAATGTCTCGTTTGGGAGACAAAGGGATTGAAAAAAAGAGACTCTTGTTTAACTCAAGAGATGGTGACCCAATTTGTAATTGCACATTGACAATTGTGGGTGGAAATATGCTTTAATTACCAGCATCCCTGAGGAAGAGTCTTCAAAATTGTTGAGGGGGCTCCAGGGTGACAGTAGATACTTTTTAAAAAAGGTGGTGATGGAAGAGAAACAAATGGGAAAAAATAGCTTGCTACATTTACTGGCTCTTGGGGGCCATTTGGAACAGCTGCTACAACCATCTCTGCACAATTCATTCTACAGCTGTTTAATGCAGAGATTTTCATATCTGACTAAGTAGCCTTCTCACTGTCTTATTCCTTTCCTTCCTTTTGCACTTTATTATTAGCACCCCAGGGAGGCAAGGTCTCAGAATTATGGTAACTTCCTGATTTGATTAGATGGCAATCCTTTGCCCCCACTTACTAGGACTAAACCTCATTAAATTCATTTTGAAGTTAGACTGAGCTGCTTTAAATAAATTGACCAAAATAATTGGGGCTTAGTTTTGGCTTATATCCCACCCAGAGTCTTGAAACACAATAAGTAAATAAACATTGGGATGCAGGACACAGGAAACCTATACTGAAAAATTTGATAAGTTATCCCTTCATATTGTGAAAGCTTTTGGGAAAAGTTGGACTCTCTACTTGATATAAGTTGATTCAATGTGAATTTATCCAGATTGCATGTCTTGAGTTTATTCTTGTCTTTTAAAAAAATGATTTTGCCCTACACTGGATTAGTAATTTTGTTTTGAATTTGTCAGGTGCAAAAGATCAGAACCACATATGAAGTTCCAGTTAAATTGACTTATTTACTAATCCAGCCTATGCACAGGAATCTACTCAGCTAATGGTTAACACTATCTTGGCATTAGATAAGGTCAATGGAGTTTAAGATTGGACTTGATCCATTTGTGGCTATGTAGAGACTCTAGGCCTCTTTTGACTCCATCTTCAGGTTCTGAATTCCTTCTCCTACAGAATTTTATATATGTTATAAAAATAGATTATAGACTGCAAAAATTGTCCTTCATTATTGTCTCATTATCTTGTTTTTATTTTAATAAATTTAATGTTTCTTATCCACTCATAGAATTTCAGCCATGGGATAGGTTAGCAATATACTAGATTTTAATAATAATACAGAGACATGCAAATAGAAATAGAACATCAAAAGTAGCAAAAGAAAGCAAAGGTAGTACCAATAGTAATAGGTGTTTGGGTGTGATCCCAAAACTGAGCATGAGTTGAACACTATCAGTATTGAAAGAATCAGCATTAGCCAATTGCTATAGGCAACTTTACTTAAAAAAACTTATATTCTGTGATGATACCTTTAACACCACCAAAAAACATCTGCTTATTTCAGTTCCTTGGGAAAGACTCAGTAGGTGGATAAAATCCCAAATCCAGTCTAAACAGCTGGGTGACTATGTGACCAACTGCAGTAATAGAAAGGGGAAGAAACATAAATGTTTATGGAGCTATTTACTCCTTTGTATATGAGTACTGTATGATGATCTGTTGCATTTACCAGGTTGCATAACAGCTCCTTCATCAAAAATATAAATAAATATGTAGTCTCATACATCTATATCATAACATCTCTTTTGTCTAGAGTGCCATTAATAAACGTATCAGACAAGCAACCCAAAAACTGTTGTAGCTGAAAAATTTGTGAGCACTTAGGGTGTTGTATCACTTAATTCTATGATAAATTGAAATGGCTTGCATTCTTGGCAGACTACACAGAACTAAATCTATTTCTTGGCCTCATAAATGCAAAGATGGATAACACTCAACCATTTTCATCTATATGTGAGATTTAGACAGAATGCTTACTGTCCAAAGCCTTTCTAAAACTGGGGAAGATGTAGATATAATATGTTCCATGTCTATGTGAAACATTTCTTACTTTTTCGTCTAAATGAATCAGATACTATTTGGGAGCTGATATTATGCATAAAGTATATTAAATGCTAGTTTGGTAAAGGGGCCAACAAAGAATATTGTTTGCAAAATTTATTGCACTAAGAGAGAGAACAGATTCAAAATTCAGCTACATACAGTGCCACAGACACAGATTTCATAAATAGTTGGTGAATAATTCATTGCCAATTCATACAAAGTGAATTCTTTCATTGACTGTCAATCTTGTATGCTTCTTTATGCAAAAAAACACAGGGCCAACACATTTAGGTAATTAGTTTTATCAACAAACAAGGCATGCCTGATGGTTATTATTCATAATAAGGAAATGACAAGCTTTCTTAGAACTGCTGGAAAGTTTGATGAGCTGCTAATGATATTCAAGGTCTGCAGAAAGGTGGAGGATGAAATTCAAAGAAGAACCTAGTGAAAGACAAGCAAATGAAGTATGATGGTCAAAATCAGTTCATTTTAAGAACAAGGCTGATATGCATATTTTGTTGATGGAGCAATGGTCTTGTCAGAATTTTATGAATGGATAGAGTTGGCCAAACTATTGTGATTTAAAAGGACTTGGCCTCTTTACAAATTCCTTTTTGATAACTGGGAAAGTTATCAAGCCAAAACTGTGTATTTGGTCTGTGAAATCTATTTTATTTTTCAACACAAGTCCAAACCAGAGGTGGTATTCAGCCGGTTCTCACCTACTCGGGAGAACTGGTAGTGATAATTTGGCATGGGTCGCCAAACAAGTAGTGACTTCTGGCTGGCCACATCCCCGAACCGGTTCCCGGTCGCAGCTTGCTCACTTTCCCCACTCTACGCTCACCCCACCCAATCACTCCTCACTCCACACTGGGTCCTCGTGCTTTCCCACATGGTGCCTGGCCCTATGTCCCAACCGAGCAGCTCTGATCTTCCTGCTGAAAGGTAAGCCTGCGAGTCGCGCTAGCCCCCCCCCCCCCCGCAGCATCCCCGGGGCTTGCCTTCCCCTCCCCCACAGTCCCCTGGGCTTGCCAAGCCCCCCCCCCCACACCATTCCCGGGCTCGCTTGGTTTGCTTCATTGCTGGCGCAGCCTAGCTAGCATGTGTGTGCGCGTGCATGTGTGTGCGTGTGTGTGTGTGAGAGAGAGGGGGGGCTGGAGTGGGGGGGCACCACCCGTTTCTTCCTTTTCCCCTGCCTGCTGCTAACTGGAGATCTCCCAGACTAGCCAGGTGTGTGTGTGTGTGTGTGTGTGTGTGTGTGTGAGAGAGAGAGAGAGAGAGAGAGGGCTGGAGTTGGGGGGCGACACCCATTTCTTCCTTTTCCCCACCCACTGCTGACTGGAGATTGCTCCAGATCAGCCGTGCATGCATGTGTGTGAGTGTAAAAATGCTATCATGTTTCCCCCTAGTTCTTCTTCCCTCTGCTGGTAGATGCTTCTTTTCTTCTTTTGGGGAAAAATATTATGGTTCCTTTCTCTACAAACTATGGAAATTGGATGGTTAAAAAAAATAATCAGGATGACGGTTTTATCTTTGTGAGTGTGTTTGTATTTCTGCATTTGTATGCGTGTGAAAGAAATGCCCCCTCGCATTCTGTTGCAACTCCTTTCCACAGCTCCTTTCGTCGCCTCAGTCTGTCCCTGACAAACAAGCTGGCTGGCTAGAGCGTTCCCTCTCCCTCTCTTCAGATTAAACTCTCTTCTAAACTATTCAGCCTCTAAACTACTCGGCTGACATTGATGACGTTTTTCTTTTGACAAGGCTATCTGTTCCAAAATGCTGCTGTCGGGCAAGGATTCCATGGAGCCCAACAGTTTCATTATTTATCATGTGTTAATATTTTACACTGTCCCTATACATCTAGAGTGATTTTACTGCTTTTCTTTTGCCCAGGGCTACCACATATTTTTCAAGTATTTACATCAATGTCTAGTCCAGAGCATAAATATGTGTGTGTTTATTTTGTACATCAGGTTGCATAAGTCCAGCTTAATATGCTATTCCTTGTATGTGATATTTTGTATACATACAGAGAAAGAAGCACTCTTGTGATCTTTGACTTAGGCTTGCTGTCAAACATCAGCCATAATAATTACTGTTTTGAACAATATGCAGGTTGTATTACATGAATGGCTATTTTATATGTGAAATTATGAAATAAATTTGAGTAGAGGTCCTGGGAAAGTGTCAAAATAACAGAATGACACTTAGAGGGACCTTGGGGGAACCCTATACCATTTCAGAGAAATGGCTGTCCAGTCTTTTCTGAAAAACTTCCAGTGATTGAGTACCCAGAACTTCTGGACACAAGCCGGTCCACTGGTTAATTGTTCTCACTGTCAGGAAGTTTCTCCTTAGTTTTAGGTTGTTTCTCTCTTTATTCAGTTTACATCCATTGCTTCTTGTTTGTGTTCTGCTTCTTTGGAAAATATATCCACCCCCCCTTTTTTTTCTGGCAGCCTCTTAAAAGCTTGTTGCCTATCACAGTCTTGGACAATGCATATGAACCATTTCTTCCTTTCAGTGGTCCATGAAAGTACATCTATAGTATGTAGATAATAAAGTCAAAAATGGTGAACAACATTTTTCCAGAATTACAGATAAGTTGAGGCTGGGTGACAATGAATGGCTGGGAGGGGAGGGGCCAGCACCCCTTGATGTGAGTGACATTGAATTGGCCATGCCCACCCAGTCACATGACTACCAAACACGCCCACCCAGTCACATGACCACCAAGCCACGCCCACCCAGTCACATGACCATCAAGCCATGCCTACCCAGTCACATGACCACTAAGCCACACCCACTCAGTCACATGACCACCAAGCCATGCCCACCAAATAAACCACGCCCACAGAACCAGTAGTAACAATTTTTGAATTCCACCACTGGCCCAAACACTTAGCAGTTTTATACATTATGAGGGGACATCATTACAGTTTTGAACAATATGTTATGTCTGTCAAAAGTAAGTCTTATTGAGCTCAGTGAACTTAATCCTAGATACAGGATTCTAGTCAGAGTGATACTATATCAGGAATATAGTCACATGAAATAAATTTCATCTTTTTTTTAAAAAAAGTAGCTTTTTTAAAAAGTAGCTGGTATTGGATTAATATTTTTCTGTACTTTTAAATACCAAGAATTTCTAAAATGGTTCCATTAACTTTGTGAGGAAGTTCTTGCTTTTCAGTGAGAATTTCTATTGATTTAGGTTATCATAAATATGTTTATTCATTTTCCCATAAGATATCAAATATGGTTTATAATTAAGAAAAACACCACAAATTATTTTAAAATCCTATAAGATTCATTAATGTCTATGAAAAGTATCTACAATCTTGAAATCCACTAAACAGGTAAAACAAAGGACAAATTTATGGTAAGAATAGGGAATAAAATATTTTCACTCCCTGTTAACATGTACCGTATATGAAGGGACTCTTGAGATATGTTCTTCCGTCTTGGTAGCCAGAATTTGAATGGCTTGTTTTGATATCTTAGATACTCAAGAGAACCCAGAATAACAGGTTAAGATATGAAGTAAGATAATCTCAGGTTGTTCTCTCTTTTATAGATTAAAGATAAATTCCTGATTTGAGCACAAAGGTTACTGTGGATCAATGTAATATGCTCATTTATTTTAGATAAAGGCCAAATCATCTGATGCTTCATTACAAAGAACATGTAGGTTTGATTTAATTATACCCACTACTATATAAAAATCTGCATCGCCTAAAAGGGTAAGTTTTATTTTTCAAAGAAAAATTAAGAAAGATGATGTATCAGGCTATACCTCCTTCTGACATTTGCTATATGGAATAAAGTTGCAAAGGAAATTGTACAATGACACAAGACATAAATAAAGTATATTTGGAATGTAGTTCTTATCTGGGTAGATTTTAGCTCATCTATGGTTGCAGGTTTTGATGCCCAATTAAAACCCTTTGATTAGATGTAAAATTTAAGTTTTAGTTAATGAGATAGTTTGTGAATAAACTGCATAGCCTTTCATTGACAATGCTCTTTTTTCTTTACAGATAATCAGGAAAAGCTAAAGGCCTTGTAAAACTCTAAAAAAAAGTCCAGAATTGTATATAATTTATGACAAAACTGACAAAAGATCATGAGAAAAGCTGGTAGTGGCAGTACTTTTATACTACGTTATATACCTGCAGCTTTTGCTGCTCCATTAAACCAAAGTCATTTGTGGACTACTCATTCAAAACAGTGATGATCACATTGTTAGCCTTGGTCAGATCCCAGCAAGGAATCTTTGAACCATGAGGAAAATTTCCAAAGAGGATATTGTCTTTCTCTGGTGCAGCAAAAACAAATAAATATTCTGTAATAATTATGGGGAAGCAATCTAATGGATGCCATTAGACTAAATGTACTCTCAAGACTGCAAAATTGCATGTCACAATATTAATAGTTATTAGAAATATGTGAATTTATCTGACTGCACTGAACTTGCCTATCAAAGTTCAGAATCTGCTTGAACTGCTTCAGATCAGGGCCCCAATGAAAGGGCATTTTCCCTATATAACAGCATTTTCTATAGATATATTGTTTGAAGATTCTTATGGCATAGATTGAAGTAGTGGGATGAACCACTGCAAAATGGGGAGAGACAATGCAAAACAGATTAGATTTTAAAATCAACCAATCAATCGGAATAGAGCTGAGGGGACCTTGGAGGTCTTCTTGCCTAACCTCCTGCTCAAGTAGGAGAGCCAATACATTCCAGACAAGTGATTGTTCTGTCTCTTCTTAAAACCTCCAATGGTGAAGCATCCACAACTTCTGAAGGCAAGTTGTTTCACTGATTAATTGTCCTCACTGTTAGGAAGTTTCTCCTTAATTCCAGGTTGCTTCTCTCCTTGATTAGTCTATATCCATTATTTCTTGTCTTGTCTTCTGATTCTTTGGAAAATGAGTTGACATAAAAAAATAAATTCTTTGTTGACAGACCATCAAATACTGGAATATTGCTATCATGTCACTCCTAATCCTTCTCTTCTCCAAACTAGCCATACACAATCCTGTAACCATTCTTCATATGTTTTGGTCTCCAGGACCTTAATCATCTTACTTGCTCTTCTCTACACTTTTTCCAAAGTTTCAACATATTTTTTGTAGTGTGGTGGCCAAAACTGGATGCAGTATTCCAGGTATGGACTTACTAAGGTTTCATAAAGTGGTACTAATACTTCACATGATTTTAATTCTATGCCTCTGTATACAACCAAGTATTCTCTAATACAACCAAGTATTCTCTAATACAACCAAGGATTGTATTAGCTTTTATGTAAGATGAGCTACTGATGTTTCTCAACTTTGGCAGCTTTATGATGGGTAGGCTTCAATTCCCAGAATTCTCTAGCCAGCCCTGAGTTAGACAGATAGGTTGAGGTTCTCATGAAATTAGGTTTGTGTCTCATCCTCTTGTCATACATTTCTCACATATCTGGAGTCCATAAAGCAAACTCAAGCAACCATTTGGAGGACAAAGACAATTGCCATTCAGTGGGTACATT